ATGGTGGGTAAAAGCAATGCCGCAGAGTTATTGTGAACATTAAGTAAATAGATCTATGTGACTTGCTCAGATCAGTACCTGTCTTCTAGTAAGTGCCAAGTAGTGGCTGGTACTTATACTTGGTAAGTTGGTGATATTATTTATGTAAGCTATGCAGTTATGACAAAAATAAGCAGCCAGTACACACATGTATGAGTACACACATGCATATATACATACACGTGGATTTCAACCAGTGTTGTATATGAAATGTCTTTCCCCAAATCCTGAGATAGCCGACCCTAAAATCTACACTTTCCACGTTGCAACCCTAATTCCTTTCAAAGTAATTTCAAGGGGCGCATGCCACCATACTTAGATTTGGAAGGACAGAACTCAAATCTATGACCAGCATATCCTCTGCCCAGTGAGGGCCAAACAGACAAGTCAATCTGAGCCCTGGCAGGTCAGGTATGACATTTCTCTCTGCTGCAAAGCTTCCCAGTCACCAAAGATGAAAGGCCTCTAAACCAAGTTATTACAAACAGCGCTGGCAGCCACATTCCCGGAGGGTAGACACAAAGTGCAAGCCTGCATTCCACTTACGATGATCAAGGAATCAACTGTACTGATGACAAGAGCGGTTTGTATTAAAATTCATTTAGATACAAATATTTCTCCCAGTGTGACTACTAGCAAAAGGGAGTGTGCTGAGTTTTAAAAGAACCCTGTTTAAAGAGGTTTAATTTTTTTTTTCAAGAGATGAGAAGCCAGAGCTCCGTCAGGAAGAATGGAGAAATCAACTGGAGGGGTGGCAGGGGAGGGGCTAGCTGTCCAGCGTCCAGCGTGAGCAGGTTCATCCCTGAGTCTGTAGTGAAGGAAGAGCACTGGGAGCACAGCTTCTCCTTCCAGCAAGGAAGAGACAGAGCTCAGTGTGTGACCAACCAAGTCTAGATCAGGGTGCCTAAAGTTCTCAGACGACGGTAAGCCCCCCAAAAGTCTGCCAGAACTAAGACACTTTGAGCTTCCTCACCTGCTCGAGATGGCTGGTGTCCGAGAGGCCAGCATGGGGACCTGAGGGTCTCAGCAGTGGCCAGGCTAGGTTGTGAGCTGTCCTCCGCCACTCTGCCCAGGAGCTCCTCCAGGCAAGACCTCATTCTGGGGACAGCTGTGCCCTTCTATATCCCTCCATCTTGCAAACTATGGATGTTTATTTGCTCTCTGCATCCCACAAAGATATCCACTTCCTGTGTGAGCCAGGCACTTCCTGCTAGGCATCTAAAGTTTGCCAATGAGCTGCTTGGGCCTCTGTCTCACTCGTAAAGCAGCCAGATCGATTTAAAATGTCTTTCCACCCTTCTCCACATCTGCTGACACCTTCTGGGGCAGGGAGCTGCCATGTCCTGGTGACCCTGCTGAGTGCAATCGCCACAGTGCCTGAATTTCCACGCTGCCCGCTCTTCTAAAAGGGACAGGTTGGGAAGTAAAAGGCCAGCATCCTGCTTGGCACTTGGCAAGTGACCAAAAGGGCAGATGGAACTCTGAACCAGTCCAACCGCAATCCGCTGCTGCAGGTGTCACCTCTGGCTGCGCACACGTGGGCTTGGGCCCTCACCTGGCATCCCTGTCTTGCAGCTAGAGTGGCAGGACCCCAGGGCTCCAGCTCCAGAACCATGGCATCATTTGATTTATCTCAAAATCAGATATGCCTGAGTTCAGGACTGTGCACGGAAGGCTCTTTATGAGGTCAGCAAGAGCTGAGTGATGCTGGCAGTGGGCGCTGACAAGGAAGCTACAGAGTGAGCGCTGAGGAAGTGCGTGTAAGGCCGTTTTCTCCACAGAGCATCAATGTGTATTGGAACCTAGCTTCCCCAAACCACATGCCTCCTATGCAGGCAGAAACCCACAGCTCCCGGGGAAACTGCATGGTCGTTACAGACAGACCAGTTCTTACTGAAAAAGAAAAGCCCAAGTGTCATAAATCACAAAGCTAATTGCTGGTCTGGCGAATGAACAGGAAATGCAGGAGCAAGAGCTTAATAGATCTGAATGTGAGGAGTCCTTTGTAGAAACATCATGGAAGTCAGGAGAAGGCCTCTGACAAGGGTTGTGGCCACAGAGCCGGTGCTGAGAGGGCACAGGTGTGCCAGGGCGTATCCCTGACGGCGCTCTACCTTTGTGGCAGACACCCCATAGTTCCTCTGGGACTCTAGGAAACAACACAAGCTCCTTTCAGGATGGAAACAGAGAAACAGAGGGACTGAGACCCTGGCTGTGGTGGCACAGTATGGGCGGGGTGGTGGGCAGGCGCGCCTAGGCCCTAGCAGGTTTCTGCATGCCAGGTGTGCCACTCACTCGGCCTCAGGGACACAAGACACAGGACTGCAGATTATGTGGGGTGCTGTGAGGACACGCCAAGGAGAGCTAATGCATGGGAGGTGCTCAGGAGGCAGCTCTCCCTAGCCATAACAATAACAAAAAAGAAAAATAAGGCTTACGAAAAGAGAGCCCCTAAAGGAAAACAAGCACCAGCTAACACATTAGTTCATCTAATTAAGCCGGTGTCAAAAGGAGCAAATGTCGCCCTAGAACCAGAGAACTCCAGGGCTGAACATACCATCCAGGCCCTGCCCTGCTCAGCTACCCTTGGTGGCTGAATGGCCTGGGTTACCACCTCCACGGAAGTCAATGGCCTCCCCCTGCTCTCCATACAGCCTGAGGAGCTCAGGTGTGGGGATGGCAGAACTGGCCTAGAGGCTGAGGAGCACGTGCCCAGCCCCCGGGTTCGGCCCCAGCATCTCCCATGACTGATCCCATCCGCCTCAGCCACTGAACGGGTGGGGACATGGTGAGCCGCTCAGCCTCGGGGTGGTATTCTCAGTGACACTGAGGTGACCCAAACGGAAAGACCCTCGGGTAGACAGCACACAGACAGGGGGCCTATGCCTGTGGCAACGTCCTGACCCAACGTGCTACACATGAGTAGGTTCTGCAGCTATGAATGGATTTCAAATTAGGCTCACTATTTCTTATTTTCATAGAGTATAAATATTTGAAAGTATTATTAAAGGCTTAATGAAATGATTAGCCAAATCAATCTTTGGTCTTTCCATCTGCTTGAATTCAGGTTCATAATAGCAAAGTCTGCCACCCATCCCATGGCAGATGCCACCACCAGCTGAGACGGAGAGACAGAGATGGAGAAGATGGCCTTAACACCAGCTCTCTTGCCCCGTAGGGCCAATCTCCCACCCACTTCCAGTCAGCATGTTTGGGGGACAGATGTGGGTGGCACATGGCAAGCCTTTCTTAAATGTTTGTTGCAAGAACTGCTAAACAAATATAGAAAACAGAGATGTCAACTACTTAAAGGAATCAAGCCTTAAAGAAAAGAAATGTCTTTCCTCTACTTTTTTTTTCTGGTCCTGGGGCCTGAACTCAGAGGGTCTGGGTGTTGTCCCTGGGCCCCTTTTGTGCTCAAGGCTAGCTCTCTACCATTTGAGCCACTACACCACTTCTGACTTTTTCTGAGTAGTTCATTGGAGATAAGAGTCTCACAAATTTTCATGCCAGGGCTGACTTTGAACCACCATTCTCAGATCTCAGCCTCCTGAGTAGTTAGGGTGACAGGTGTGAGCCACTGGTACCCAGATAACTTTTTGGTCCTCATTTCTCGAGAACACCACGTGTTGGTGGACATGAGCCCTGGAGAGGCAGCATGCTGGGCTGAGACTCAAGCCCAGAGACGGGTGATGAGGGTTCAAAGGCTGGATCCTCTATCACTGACTCCTGAACCTGAGCTGCACCTCGTCAGATGCAAGACAGGGTGATGAGCCCATGCTGGGAGTTGAGCTAGAGACTCGCAGCTCATCTGGGACTGGCCCAGTGGAGCACACCACAAATGGCCACCGTGATACCACAGTGCTGCCACATGCCCAGGACTGAGCTGCTGAGGACGGAGCCTACCTGAGGGGCATGTGCATGCAGGGGTGGCAGACCCGGTGCCCAGGCTTCCTGTTTCCTCTGAGCCCAGAGCAGGAGGGCTCGTGAGAATGAGTCACTCTTTAGGGTCCCTTCTTCTGGGTGTTGCTGAGTGGAACAGGACCAAGTCAGATCCACCCAGGCCTTGCACTATGCAGATCTCGTGAAATGGAAGCTGTGTGACTGGGGGAACAACCTCACAAGGCTGTGTCCACAGCGTGCACACCAGGGCTCTGCACGCACCTCCTCAAGCTGCTCTCTCACTCTAGCAGCCCGGCAAAATACCAGAGAGAGAGAGAGCGCTGGCCCTGGGCCTGCTCCGTCCACAGCATGGAGGTTGTTCGTGCACCCCCACCTGTGATGGCTGTGACTCGTGGCCCCTCCCCCGCTCCCCTTCTGTTTTCTGGCAGGCAAGATGGCTGCACTGAGATCCGGTATTTGCAGCTCTGCCTCACAGAGTCCCTAACCCACTTTGTAGGTGCTTGGGACAGAGGGCTGATGTAGGCAACGCAGAAATGACGGGGGTCTCTGCAGCGCACCCACACTCGGCTGAGTGTGGACTATGAGCCAGACAGGGGTCTGAGTGCAGAGTGGGGTGAGAGCGCAGGGCAGCTCGGCTGCTTGTGGCACGCTCTTCCCTCAGAAAGCCCCATGGCTTCCACTGGGCACCTTCGCACCTTGCCAGGCTGGACAATTGGGTTTTGGTTCCCAGGTCTGCAACTGTCAGCCTGAGAAACCTTCTCAGCTCGGCTCTGATAGGTGGCCATTAGGACCTGTCACTAGCATGCACACCAACCCTGTCAAGAAATGTGTGAGCCAAAGTCAGGAAGAGCATCAGCCTCAAGAAGACCTTTCCCACATGGGAGTGACACCTCAATAAGCAGAACTCGATGATAAGCCGACGCCAACTCTGTGGTCTATATCTTCTTACCAAGTCATTTGGAGCTATCTCCCACACCAAACCCCTGTGGTCCCTCTCAGCACTTGGGGGCTGGCAGAGGTGCAGCCCCGTTCAGAGTGGGCTACACTCAAAAGGATATGATTCTCCAGCGAATGTCCAGTTTGCTATTGATCTCCAGGCTGCGGGCTTCCTGCCTCTCCTCTTCCAGCTGCTTTGGATTTGCAAAATGTCCTTTCTCTCCAGGGGATTCAGCGACACTCTCAAAGTTGAACTTATCCACTTGAATAGCCATTCTGCGAGAAGAAAGAAGACAGCAGAGAATTAATCAATGGAGCAATTTCTTCTGCTAGCTGTTAGAGAATCAGCACAGGCCAGCATGAGGCAGTGTAATGAATCATTATCATTAGTAGTTCGTAACAGATTCATCTCAAGAAAATGAAATAATAGACTCCTGAGGTGCAGAGCTGGTACAACAGCATGCAGACAGTCACAGATTTGGACTTCTGAGCAGACCCGTGTCCCCGGATGAGGATTTCCATTCTGCAACGGGCAAGGCAGACAGAGCACAGTACGCTGCCCACGTGAGGCACTCTGCCGTGGCTAAAATGATACAGAATATTGGCATGCACCCCCAAAGCCCACCAGGAACACCCCTCCTAGACTCTGAGCCCACCGCCACCTCCCCATTGCACCCTCTCCTCCAGCCACTTTCCCAGCTGGCATCACACTCCGGCTACTCAGCCCCCTCCTCCCACAGCCCCTTCAGGCTCTGCACAGACCCACCTCCACCACACAGAACCCTCATTGCTTGTCCGGCACATTTGGCCTTATGCTGTCTCTAGATCAGCCTTAGCCTTTGCCCTGAGAAAATTCTCCTGAATGCTTTGTATCCTTGATGCCAGAGCTAGAGAACCCCCCAGGCCACCCCTACCAAGCAGAGGAAGTATCCTCTCTTCCTCTGTCCTTAGTCTCTAAATAAAGATCCAGAGACACAACATATCAAAGAAATGGGATTGCATTAAACTGCAGAGTTTCTTCACAGCAAAGGACATAGCTAGCAAGATCAATAGAAAGCCCACAGATTGGGAGAAGATCTTCACTGGCCATACAACAGACTAGGGTCTCATATCTAAAATATACTTGGAACTCACAACATTAAATCCTCCCAAAACAAATCCCCAAAGAAACAACCACCCCATTAATAAGTGGGCTAAAGATTTAAAGAGACTCTTCCCTGAAGAGGAAAAAAGAATGGCCAATAGACACATGAAGAAAGGCTCAACATCTCTGGCCATAAAAGAAATGCAAATCAAAACAACATTAAGATTCCACCTCACCCCAGTTAGAATGGCCATTATCAAGAAGTCTAATAACAACAGATGCTGGCAGGGATGTGGCCAAAAGGGAATCCTATGACACTGTGGGTGGGAGTGTAAACTGGTTCAACCACTCTGGAAAGCAGTATGGAGGTTCCTCAAAAGACTAAACCTTCCCTATGACTCAGCAATCCCACTCCTGGGCATTTATCCAAATGACCACAAACAAGGCCATACTAAAGCTACCAGTACAACCATGTCATTGAAACATTATTCACCATAGCTCACTGTGCCTTTGGACAGTCATCTGGTTTCTAAGCTCCTTCCTTCCAGTTATTTCCAAGTAGGGGCTAGGCCAGGGCATAGCTGACACTTGGCAGGATGTCTTTCCTGCTGTCTCAGTTGTCACAGAAAGTCAGTCTTTCTGCAGTTTCTTTTTCTTGTGTGGCTGGGTGGGTCTGAGTGCTTTAAAGGGAGTGGCTGGCAGAGCCCGCAGGAGGAGCTAGAGCAGAATGTACGCTGGTGCTGGCTCCATGATGTGAAGAACAGGCCCCTTCATCTACCTCTAAGGTCCTCTGGAATAACTCTGGAATACCTGGCTGGGTTCATGGAGAGGACCGATCACTACAGAGAGCATGCCCCTGCCCCTGCCCTCACCACTGGTGTGCTGGGAGACTGCACAGTGGCCTTGGCTCATCTCTGAAGATGTGGGAACCACAGCCAGGAGCCTCCCCACCCGGCTCACTCCGTCAGATGGATGGGATGGGCGCAGCTCCCCTCATTCTCGCGCCCTCTGTGGGGGACAGCTGACTGTCCCCCACCGGCCCAAGTGTTCCCTAAGCTCACAGGCAGATGTGAACGCCAAGGCCAGGTTTCAGAAGACAGGAAATCAGGAAACGCAGTACAAGAAAGAAGAACTGAAGAACAGAAAGAGAAGGCGATGAAGGGCAAAGGCAGAGAATACTGACTCAGTCTTTACTGCACTCTCATATACTTTAACTTCTTTTTTTTTATTTCCCCCTCAAGATTAATCCTTAAAATAGGTCTTCACAAAGTAGATGAAGGAAGAAGTGGGGGCCCCAGCAATAACGTGAGCTGCAGGTGCCAGGTCTCCAACAGCACACGGACCTTCCTTTCGTGGAGTGACTGGGCAGGGGGCCAGGGGTGCCGGGAGCTGCTATGTCTACCCCAGAGGCCCTGCCTATCCTCCCCATTCCCGGGGGCCTTTTCCCACCTTCCTCCAGTACATACTGGGGCAGAGAGAAAAGGGCGTGGCCCAAATCCACCCAGCTTATGCCAAGCAGGGTCAGGACGGACATCTGTCTTCTCCCTCCAGGCCTAGGGAAACTGAAGTCACAGGAAGGACAGATCTGAGCATCACTGGCAGCTTGGAGGAAGCAGGCAGTGTGATCCATGGAAGGTTTCTGACCTCTGGACTTAAGAAGACAGGGTCAATTCCCTCAACAAGCTAATTAGAAGCCAAAGAACCAACGGAGACAAATCCTCAGATAGCTTTTACAGAGCAACTACAGATGGATGAGACTAGAAAATCCACCCAAGTGTGGCATTGGGGCCAGCACCGGGGCCTGGCACACAGCCAGCTGCAAAGGTAAATGAAAACAGACTGGGAAGAACAAAACCCCACAGGCCCCTCATCTGTCTTCCACGGCTATGAAGCCCTTCAGCGTGAAAAATGTCCTGCTAGGTGCTGGGCCTATAAAAGACTGTATTGCATGGGGTTTTGTGTTTGTTTTGATCGGTACTTTTTGGAGCTTTTTGTTTTTGTTTTTGCCTATCCTGGGGCTTGAACTTTGGGCTTGGGCTTTGTTCCTGAGCTGCTTTTGCTCAAGGCTAGCACTCTACCACTTGAGCCACATCACCACTTCTGGCTTTTCCTGAGTAGTTAATTGGAAATAAGAGTCTCACAGGCTTTTCTGCCCGGCTGGCTTCAAACGGTGACCCTCAGATAACAACCTCCCAAGTAGCTAGGATTACAGGTATGAGCCACCAGTGCCTGGCTTGTTATTTGACAGAACTCTTTAAATCAGGCACAAATTTCCCAGCCTGCCTCCCTATAACCCCCAGCAACTCACGGGGCAGGGCAGACACCGCAGGCTGGCCAGCCAAGCTGGGTGCCATCAGACTCACACTGTGCCTGCAGGCGGCCCTGGGGAGCTGGCATCACCACAGACGCCTCGCGCTGGTCCCCGGCAGTGCTCGCTCATCTCCTTCCACCCGCCATCATGAAGAGAAGACGAGGGTGCATGACCACAGGAAGGATGGTGGTGGACCACAAGGGCTCTGCCAGGCAGAGGGGGCAGTGTGCCTAGTGAAGGAGCGATTCCTCAGACACTCAGCTCTGTCCTGGCAGCCTTGAGCCCAGACACATGGAAGTCACTGCAGGTTCATTCTACCGTGCTGCCCGTGACCCAGGGAAGGGCCTTGTTCCTGTGACTCTTCCTTCTTATCTGTAAGGTGAACACACCTAGCTAATGGAGGGGTGTGCGTGTGTGCGTGCGTGCGTGCGTGTGTGTGTGTGTCTGTGTGCATGCACTTGAACTCGGGACGCGGGTACTTTTTTGCTCAAGGCTGGTATTTGCCACTTGGGTCACAGCTCTACTTCCGGCTTTTTTGTGGTCAACTGGAGACCAGGGTCTCATGGACTTTTCTGCCCCAGTGGTCTCAGGTCTCAGCCTCCTGAGTAGCAAGGATTACAGGTGTGAGTCACCAGTGTCCAGAAAGCAGTGTTTTCTTACTAAGAAAATCGTTCAAAAAACCACAGTTGCTTCAGGCTCATTGCTCCAGCATCGATTCTCACTGGCACCTCAACTCAGCGTCCCCGCCACACACGCTCTCCCGGAGCCTGCTTCTCTCCAGAAACGTGTTCCTTTTGTGTGTCCTTCCCCGCACAGGCTACAGTGGCCGCTCCCTCTGCCCTGCCCCCAGCCTAGTGAGGTGCCAGGCACTCCACTGGCCCTGCCGTGGCTGGCCGCTGGGGGCCCACCGCCTTCCCGCTGCCCAGCCAGCACAGGCCGGGCCCCTCCACCGCCAAGCGGCAACTCGCGGCCCTCCTCCGCATCACCAGACCTCTCTACCTGCTTGCAGCTCACTTCCCTCGGGCAGAAATCAGGCCGCACGCGTGCCTTGCTGGCCTGGGGAGCCAGGAAAGGACTGTGTAGAGGCTTGTCTGGAGGGCCTGCAGGGCCTGTTTCCAAACCAACCCAGCCAGCAGGAAAACGAAAATCCCCAAGTTCCGGAATTCCCAAAGGGATTTGCAAATTGGAAACTGCCTAATTATCATCTGTGTATAAAATAACATGCTCATCACCATCAACAAATAGCGTAAACACCAAATATATTTATAGGGTGCATATTTAGACAAAACGAAATAAATTTAGAAGACTTTTAGAGAGTCAACATGAATTCTCAGAGGCCCAGTGCTGGGGGGAAACGGGGAAAAGCAGCCCAGGACGGGACCCGGGGAACGCTTCCCACTCACTGGGCACTGGGCATGAGCTCCGACCTGCCCCACACCCACACCTTCCTATCTAGGAAAGCCAGGGCCAGTAGCAGAGCCCCTGCAGATGGCCGTGGATAGGGAGAAGGGACCTAGATAGAGGGAGCCAGGGACGAGCTCCGACTTAGATCTCAGCCTGATCCCTGGGAGGAGATCCAAGAGGACGGTGCAGGCACAGACAGCAGAACAAGGATCTGAACCTTCAGTTCCTCACACAAGCTTCAGGTTTACCTCTGCGTTACGTACTGGACAGACCAAGCAGAGACCAGAGAACCAGACAGAGGTTCCCGCCTCACACACCAGCATCCCAGCTGTGGCACGTGGGGGACACAGGTGCCAGGGTGTGCTGGAGCCTTGGCTGCTTTCCCTTCAGTGATGTCATGACCCTCTCGAGACTGGCCAGAGGGGAGATCCCGCACGATGCGGATCTGTGGGTCATAACTGAGGATTACCCGTTCCA